ACTGTCCTGTTACTTGTTTTTTCCTACTTCCAATGTCCATCCCCTTCCTCTTTCTAGATGAGGATTGATCATCTTACCCCAGGTCCTCTTTCTTGTTTATCTTCTTTGTTGTACATATTTTAGTATGTTTATCCTATCTTATACATCTAGTACCCACTTATAAGTGAGTATATACCATGTGTCTCTTTCTGCTCCTGGAATATATCACTCAGGATGATTTTTCCTAGATCCCACCAATTGCCTGCAAATTTCATGATTTCCTTGTTTTTAATTGCTGAGTAGTATTCCATTGTGTAAAAGTACCACAATTTTGTAGGGAATCATGTGAAGGAAGGAGGAATTAGTACAACCTACAGGGAGCCCCACAAGGTCCAAATATGTCTGGACACAGGAGTCTTCTCTGGGACTGTTTATCCAACCAAGGACCATACATGGATATAACCTAGAACCCCTGCTCAGACATAGCCCATGGTAGCTCAGAATCCAAGTGGGTTCCCTAGTGAGGGGGACAGGAATTGTTTCTGACATGAACTCAATGTCTGGCTCATTGAGCTTCCCCTCCATCCAAGGGAGGAGCAGCCTTGCTAGGCCACAGATAAGGACATTGCAACCATCCTGAAGATATCTGATAAGCTAGGGCCAGATGGAAGGAGAGGAGGACACCCCTCTCAGTGGACTTGGAAGGGGGCAGGGAGGAGATGAGAGAGGGAGGGGAGGATTGGGAGGGAAAGAAGGAAAGGGCTACAGCTGGGATACAAGTGAATGTATAAAATTATTTAAAAATAAAAAAAATATTTTTAAAAAAGTGACTCTTTGAACATACATATTGGTGGAACGCCCTTAGTAACACGTTCATACGGTGAGAAAGTAGAGATGGCCTGGGCCAGAACTACAGTTAACCACTGCAATGGGTTCTGGGATCAGAGATCGAAAAGGTCTTCTCATCAAAACTTAACACTCTAAAAAAAAAAAAAAGCTCCACAAAAATGTTTTATTCATCACTTTGAATGGTTATTTGCAAGGTCTATAAAATACTGTGCTTGACTTTTTTTCTATTGACATAAGATATCTGTCTTAGCTGTATGTGCTCCTTAAAAAGGAGCTTCAAGTTGCCTAAGGCCAAATTTTGTTCCATTTGCTATCAATGATGTGATAGGCCATGCTCTTTGCACAGAAAGCTATTTCAGAATGTGTTGGAGGGTACTTTTTCTTCATCAATAACTTCTATTAATACCTTTTGTTCTGTGAGGATGAAAAATGTAAGGTCTGTAAATTATGTATAAAGGACATATTTCCATGTTCTCCTTCTCAATCTCTGAGTTAAAGCTTATGTCAAATAGCAGTAATGTCTTGGTTTATACTGACATTTTCTCAGGAGGAATCTCGCTTTTTGTGAGAGATATGTAGAGGGTACAAATGTTAACTACTATTTTCCAGAGTGAGTCACATGTGGTTAAGTACTAATAAAACTGATACTAGATACAGTCCACCCCAACACTCCCACAGCAAACATACATGCTGACTGCAATTGTACGCAGCTCAGGAGATCTGAAAACCCATGCTACAGGGTGGTTACAGGAGCGCTGAACTGAGGTCAGAAGCAGAGTGAATCTGTGTTGCTATTTGAGCAGTTCACCATTCAGAACAGCTTCACAACCCAGCCTGCCTCACAATATGGATGAGAACACAAAGGCTTCCTTCATGTCCAAGGCCTCCATAAGCACCAAGTCACTCTTCCACAACAGCAAGTGGGAAGACAAGTCTGGAAACAGGTCCTGAAGAACACGAGATATAATACTACCTTGGACATTCAAAAAAAAAAAAAATCAGTTTTTTTTTTCCAAATAGCATAATTCACTATCTTAACTAAATAATTTTAACCAAGTATTTTTTTCTATTAAAAAAGAAAGAAAAAATAATACAAAGCCTAGAAAACACTGACTTCTCAATTTTTTTTTCAAATATCATACACATGTTTTCATTTAGTGGTTCAAAATTAACTCTCCAAAGTACCAACACTATTCAGATGCTTAAGAGTGCTTCTGCATCACTTACAGACATACCTTTCACATTTAGAACTTTCTACACTAAGCTGGAAATGTTTCCAAAGTCTAAATACACACTTCCACTGATTATTCCATAAAGAACATGTGGGAGGAACTATTTGCTCAATAGATCCTTCTTCAGCAATTCAGAGACTTAATCATCATTTCCAAAGCAAATTCTCAAAAATCAAATAAATCGCAAAACTACAAATATAATTGAGTCTCCATGAAGGAGTTCCAATTGTCTGCCAAAACAGTCCTGAAATCCTTAATCCCTTGTCCATAAAAAACTGGACCAAGTATTGACGTTTTCCACCAAGTGAGCCACAGAGCCACAAGTGTTTCTCATTTACCCTACCCCTGGGGCATACAGCTCAAATAAAAAATTTCCTGAATACCCCAAATTTCAGATGCAATTTGGAATGCAAGTGATTCATAATGTAATAAAGGAAACATCATGCTCTTGTCTTACCCACTCAGAGTTTCAGGAATGCAACTCTCAGGAGAGCACCCTTACCAATTAGAAGGCTGGCTTTGTTGTCAGGCATGAGACCCAACTATCATACTCTTTGCCCCTTACTCAAATGTGATTCTGAAGCCTCAGCAATCTGTTCCTCCAGCTACTGTTCACGGGAGAAAGCTATTACCTCAAGAGAGCCAATAACGTTCCTATTGTTTACCACGAAAAACCCAAAGTAATGGTGCATCCATTCCCATTAAGAAAGGACCTGACAGTAGCCTCTGTTTTAGATCCAAATTAAATCAAGAGTGAATTTCACAGAAGCTCTTGTCATCTTCTAATCCTGCCCTTAACTAATTCCCTTCTTAAGTCATTAGTTACGTCCTGAGGGACCACAACTGCCAGTGGTTTTCTTTCACAGACTCCATTTCCCTCTCAAGGCAAAGAATACAGTTGACATAGGGGAATTAAAGTGGTCAGTTGACATATCATGAGAGTGATATCTGTGCCTTGGGAAGGGCACATATGAATCATAACAAAATCAAGATATGCAGTGTCCACAATGTGTTAAAAACACAAGACACAGTAGAGTAGCATGTGGATGGGAAAGGATCAATATCAACACAACAACTCTTCCCATTAACTAAATGGAGGCTAAAGCAAAATGCACAGACAGGACACTCTTCAGTAAGAATTGTGGACGGGGTCTGAGGCCCAGTGCAAAGCTCAAAACAAACACCCTGAAAGTTGGAGGGAAATTACTGATTCTCACAAATAATAGTGTGTGGTGTGTGTGTTTACTGTGTGTATCTTCAGCGCGGTAAGGAGAAATAGGTGCTTAAAATAAATTCCCTAGTAATTCTGATAACAGTAACATTTACACAGAAACAAAGTGAACATGGCAATTGAATTCATAACTACAGATGCCATGAGACTACTTTGATCAGGAATATGAAAAAAGATAAATAGAAAAAAATTAACTGTTGCCTACACATAAATGAAAAATGAATCCATTATAATTGTGTTTAGATCCTTGTATCAAGGATAATCCAAAATACAGTTTGACAATATCTCCTGTCAAAAATTCCGTATTCTGTTATACCTTAGCTGTTTTAGAAGAGCCAGGACTGTGTTATCCACACACAGAAATACATTGATTTCTCATCCTTGTATTAAAAGAGAAATTGCTTAGCTGAGGACAGAAAACTGAATACTGAAAAACTGTATTTTTTGTTGGATTAAAGTTAATGCTGTGGACTTTCCCTCACTATATCTGTTTTAGAATTAAGTGTAATCACTATACTAGTCAATAAATTTCTACATTAAGGTTTTTGTAAGCAACTGTCACATATTGATGAGGAATAGTACAGTATAGAGTTTACTCCTGTGCTTTTCCTTGCCTTCTTGTTTCTGTGAGCCATGAAGTCTTCTTCTGCAGTTGAGAGTCTAGATGGGAAGCTTTACATGGGATAACTCAGTTTTCCATCTGATTGGCCTTTTTTGTATAGGACCATTCTAAACCTGCCTCTTTTCCTTTTGCCTTTGTTTCCATTGAGCAACTGCTAGGTTCAACTCATATACAGGAAGCTAATGGTATATGTGGCGGTATACTAGGATACAATGAAAGAGTTTAGTAAAACATGCTTCCTACCTGTGGCTATCAATTTTACTTAACTGGGCATATAGTGATGGACAGCTGGCTAAACCCTATGTGTGTGCATGTATGAAAATGGTTTTAAATGAGAGTAACATTTAAATCAGTGGCCTTGACTGAGAAATACTGACTACATTATGGGAGTGGACCTCATTCAGTCAGTTGAAAGTCTAACACAAAGCTGCCTGTCTCCCCCAGATTGTTCATCGTAAGAGAATCACTATCTCCTCAGCTTGTTCAGAGCAGATTTCCTGGCTCAACAGGAGCTTTTGGTCCTTGGATTCAAATTGAGACATTAGCTCTGCAGATTTTGGACTTGCCAGGATCCATTACTGTATGAGCCAAATGTTTATAATAGATCTGCATAGAAACATGCTTAAACGTATCCCACTGGATCTGTTTATCTAAAGAAATCTCAACAGCACATGATCCCCCACAAGGCTCAGTCTGACTGAGGGGGAACAAACTGTCTCCAGGAGGCCTTTCTCAAAGAAGAAGCCACAGCAGACTACGATGATCCGAAGCAACTAGCAAACCAAACTGCTATCAGGAAACACACACCGAGGAAAATCAAAGTATTGAAGGCAAGCTCTGCCAAGCGCAGTATCAGACCATGTAATTCATTCCCCCAAGACTTCCAATAAAGCCGGCAATCTGGCTTTAGCTGACAGTTCAGTTGCCTTTTCCTACATATGCTGACTAGATGCTTTCTTTGCTTTTATGAGTTAGGTACTGTTATTTGAAGCTGATCAGAGGGAAAAACTGAAGACATGAAGTAAAGTTATAAATTAATTCATTACTCTCATGGTGCGTTGTACAAATATGAAGCCAACAGGCTCACTTGAATGGCAGCCAGGTTCTTCTGCTCCTGAGACGGTGCCTCGTGAACAAAGCGAAGCCAGTTGGAGTGTCTCGGGTTGGTAGCATCCAAAATATACAGAACTTCTCCCTTGCTCCCACGGACCTAAAATGAAAAACAAAAAGACTCCAGTTTCCACAGACATCCATATTAATCATGCTAAATTTACCAAGGGTAAAATATTACGTATTTTTCAGAAGCATGCACCTTTTTAGTTAATAAGCATTGATATATGTTAAATTAACAGCACTCACGGCTTGAACTTTATGTATAAAGAGAGTCCACTATTTAAGTTGGGAGATGTCTGCATGACTCACAACTATTCTCAAATTTCAAGACGTCTCATGTTTTCTGTGTCCTTTTTGGCAGGTGTATTTGAATATACATGTAATAATCACAGTCGTTTGGGCCATAATAACAACGCGACTCATCTCACAGAAGAGAACAGCACTGCCTCCCAGGCGACAGCAGTGCAGCCAGAGCAATTCTCGTCCATCTGCTTGGTGAATTATCTTTAGATGGGAGAACTGGCCAATCTAACCAGGAGGAAGTGACAGTTCACAGGAATGTGCTTTTCTACGGGATAAATAACATTTTGTCTTTTAAACATACTACCCATATATTTCTGGGTACAATATTTTGACATTATTTTATTTTATTTTGCCTCTAGTCATAAGCGATTGCTGGTCAACCATAACAGATATTTTAACAGGAAAAGGAGTAACAGGAAGGAAGGAAGGAAGGAAGGAAGGAAGGAAGGAAGGAAGGAAGGAAGGAAGGAAGGAAGGAAGGAAGGAAGAAAGGGGAAGATGGGGGATGAATCAGTCCATTTAACCCTCTTTTTTGTTAATGTATTCATTTATTCCTTTTACACCCGGATCAGAGCCGCCTCCCTCTTCTCTTCCCAAGATACCTGGAATCTAGTGCCTCCGAAACCCCTCCAATATTGGTTACTTGACCCTGGCCCACTTTAATAACAGGCTTTATTATCATCTTTATTATCACTTTAATATCATCTCCACCTGTGTTTTCATATCCACCAGAGGAGGGAAGGAGAGAGGCTCAGTGTTCAGAGATCTGTACTCAGCAGAGAACACAGGTTCAGTTCTCAGCACCCACACAGTGTTTCACAACCCTCTGTAATCTCAAGTTTTGGAGAGTCTGACATCCCCTCTGACTCCTTTGCACACTAATGATACACAGACATACAAGGAAGCAAAACAACTCACAAACCCAAAATAAAAATAAATATTTTAATCCAGCAGAAATATGAGGGAATGAATGGTTTTCACTCCAAACATGCAGCCCACATAACACAAATGTAAATTTTAGAAACACAGCTTTACAAACTTGAGGTAAGAAAAAAAAATCAAAGTCAACAAATCCAAGTGGTAAGCATTTTCATGGTACATTTGCACACTTACTCATTCAGCAAGCTAGTGGTGAGCCATAAACTGCCCGGGACTAAGAATGGTCCAGCGGACAGAGTAATAAGACTTTGACTGCACAACACTTCAGAGTAAACAAATATACAATGTGACGTCATGTCACCATGAACAGGAACAACTAAAAGTGATAAATAAAGCAGAATCAGAAAACTGAGTAACAGGAGAAAGACCAGGAAAGCATCATTGGTGAGTTTTTTAAAGTTCAAAAGGAGTTAAAGAAAGATTTCCAAACAGAGAGATCAGCAATCAAAAGCAGCCGAAAGCCTTTGAGTTGTAAAAATCTTGATGTCCACAAGGCACAATGAAAAGGCTGAAGAAGGTCCAATGGGCACAGGTGAGAAAGTGATGGACATTGAGATCAACTGGCAGATGACAAGTCACCCACAAACATACAAACATAGAAGCCACCCACACACTCACTATGAGGTATGTTCATTAAATTCCACCCAAAAATCTGTTACAAAGTCATCAGGTGAGTGCATGTCAAAAGGAGAAACTTCAAAATTCCAACATATATTAATGTACAGGAAAAAATTCAATTAGCTTTCCCTGATATCTGATATCTGCTGTTTCTCAAAGAGCTATTTTCTCAGAAACCAAGCAGTTTGCAATCATCTTTTTACAATTTCTCTAATGAGATTTGTAATGATCACTGGAGAACAGAAATTTAATCTTCAGTATTTTAGCTGATAAAAGAAAACCTGAGGACAGTTAAAGCCTCAAGTGTTTCTTCTATACTTAGGTGTAGAACTGTGAGAATTATAATTCTAATTAAATAACAAATTCGTATTAAAATTTCCCTGCCTTCCTGCTTCAAGACTCATTGACCCATGGAGAATAAAGATAGATAGATAAATAGATAGATAGATGGATAGATGGATAGATGATGGATGGATGGATGGATAGATGGATAGATGCACAGATGGACAGATAGATAGATGGATAGATGGATAGATGATGGATAGATGGATAGATGGATAGATGATGGATAGATGGATAGATGGATAGATGATGGATAGATGATGGATAGATGGATAGATAGATGGATAGATGGACAGATATATAGACGGATAGACAGTTACATATATATACGTATATATGTATATCTATTTGTATATGTATATATGTATATATTTGTGTATATATGTGTATATACATATACACAAATACATACATACATAACCACTAGAGGCCTTCTGTGGTAGGCTCCTGTCCTGTTCCCTGTTTTCTTCCTCTTCCGATGTCCATCCCGTTTGAATGAGGATTGATCATTTTACCTAGGGTCCTCCTTCTTCCTTTTCCTTAGGTGTACAGATTTTAGTATGTTTATCCTGTATTATACAGCTAATATCTGCTTATAAGTGAGTATATACCATGTGTGTCTTTCTGCTTCTGGGATACCTCACTCAGGATAATCTTTTCAAGTTCCCACCATTTGCCTGCAAATTTCATGATTTTCTTGTTTTTAATTGCTGAGTAGTATTCCATTGTGTAAATGTACCACATTTCTGTATCCATTCCACAGTTGATAGACATCTGGGTTGTTTCCAGATTCTGGCTATTACGAATAAAGCTGCTACAAACATGGTTGAGCAAATGTCCTTGTTGTGCTTGAGCATCTTTTGGATATATGCCTAGGAGAGGTATAGCTGGATCTTGAGGAAGCACTATTCCTAATTGTCTGAGAAAGCACCAGATTGATTCCCAAAGTGGTTATACAAGTTTACATTCCCACCAGCAGTGGAGGAGGGTTCCCTTTTCTCCACATCCTCTCCAGCAGGGTATTGAAGCAGATGCTGAGACTCATAGCCAAACTTTGGGCAGAATGCAGGCAATCTTATGAAAGAAAGGAGAGATATAAAGACAGGAGGGGACAAGAGCTCGGCAAGGAGAGCAACAGAAACAAGAAATATGGGCCCAGGGGTCTTTTCTGAGACTAATACTCCAACCAAGGACCATTCATGGAGATAACCTAGAACCCCTACACAGTCGTATCCCATGGTAGTTCAGTTTCCAAGTGGGTTTCCTAGTAAGGGGAACATAGACTGTCTCCAACATGAACTCAGTGGCTGGCTCTCTGATCACCTCCCCCTGAGGGGGGAGCAGCCTTACCAGGCCACAGAGCAAGATAATGCAGCCAGTCCTGCTGAGACCTATAGGCTAGGGTCAGATGGAAGGGGAGGAGGACCTCCCCTATCATTGGACTCAGGGAGGGGTATAGGAGAAGAAGATGGATGGAGGGCAGGATTGGGAGGGGTTGGCGAGGGGGCTACTGCTGGGATACAAAGTGAATAAATTGTAATTAATAAAAAATAAATGAAAACCACAACTATTGTTGAAATCCACATAACTATCAGTGAGTAAGAGAACATGTGTTTGTCAATGACATCATCTTCACTTGAGGGGAAGACCTATTCAAGGACTTTACCTGGGCCCCTTGGTGCTATATCCATTACTCAGTATTTTGTACCACAAATCAATAAGATGTGCTTGATAGTTGAACTCAGTGAAAGGATGGCAGCTAGACATTGACAAAGAGTCTCAGGCTTCCTGCAGTGAGCACATTTAAGGTGGATGTCTGTTCATTCTTCATGCATTCAGTTTTGCTCAGGCCCCTTGGCTTCAACTGCTTTCAGTCAGTGCACTGCTTAGTATTAACTGTCAACTTGACAGACTATATAATTATCTGGGAGACGACTGCTGGGCATGCCCGTCAAAGATTTTATGGATTACAGTAACTGAGGTGAGAAAGCCTCCACTGTGGGCAGCACCCTTCTCTGGGCTGGGATCCTGGACAGTGGAGTGGAGAGAGGGATCTGAGCAGAGCAGCATTTCGCCATCACACATGGGTGCCATGTGGCCTGCAACTTCTCCCCTGCCACAGTGGACTATAATCTGAACTCGGAACCCAACAAGAGCCCACCCTCCTCAAGCTGCTTCGTTAGTGCATTTTATCACGGCATTAGGACAAGAAACTAACATATTCAGTGTTAGTACCTTGCTTTCAGTTTTGGTTCACCAGATGTACACATTTTCCAGCTGACTGTTAACCTCACACAACAGTCCATCTTAAGAGAAATTCACAACTTAACATCACACTGAAATTCTTCTGAAATGTGTTATTTTTAATATAACATTGTTTTATTAAAAATAAATCATAAATTTTGTTTTGTCTTGTCTTGTTTTTGTTTTTAATTTTGTTTCGTGAGACAGGGTTTCTCAGTGTAGCCCTGGATGTCCTGGACTCGCTTTGTAGACCAGGCTGACCTCAAACTCACAGTGATCCACATGCCTCTGCCTCCCTGAGTGCTTGGGATCAAAGGTGTAAACCACCATGGTGAGCTATAATTTTTTTTTAATTAGTAACACTTTACACTTACTGTTGATTTATATTCTCATAAAAATTGTGGTGATAATTTCTTATACACTGTGCAAATCTTAATATTTAAAAACCTCTCTTTACTCATCCACATAGTCAGTGGCTATATTACTGCAATCATCTGCAGTCACAGAGTGTTAAGTGTCCCATCTTGGTTCTTTATTGAGCACTGTTCTGGCCTCCAGCCTCCAGCTCCTATAAAGTTGTCGCATCACCTATTCCCAAGACTACAACTTCCTGCCCTTCTCACAAGACACTTGCTCACAACCCTCTGAAGG